AGGCGGGGGTTTACTAAGGCCTTATAAAGCGGTACTAATGCTTCATGTAATCGTGATTCTATCTCTCTATTAATGCAGCCTAGGATTACATTGGCTTTTTTGGCTGCTGCTGCACACTGTTGGCTCATATTTAATATTTAATTTAATAGTATATATTCTTCAAATACATATTAACTTATTTCCTACTAATATTCAGAAATTTCCTGAAGGCTGAAAGCCCAACAGACAAGTATTAATTTGGATAGTTCTTCTTTTTTTTTTTTTTCAAGAATACAAAATATTTTTAATGAAATATTTTTTAATCTCTAATCATTTTTAATTTCTGCATTACCCTTCTTATTTTTCCCTTTATGATATAATTTTATATGAACTAGCTAGCTTGGAGATTTTGTTTTTATTTTTTGCTTCCTTATATGAATACAACTTTTATCTGGACAAAAATCTAGTTTTCAACTTTATTGATCTGTATTGTCAACTCTTAACATGGCACCTTTATATTAAATGTTTGTTCTTTTTCTCCCTCTCATCTAAACACATAGGTGCACGCACTAATATATGCATTACACAAAAATTTGGAGAATAAACTTATAAAAGGCTGGACTCTCTTGGGAATTTTTTTTGCTGAAAATGAAAAAAATGAATTGGTGATTTATAAATTTTCTCATAAAAAGGGCTTGAATATGGGAAGAAGGAAACCATGTAATATAATCTTAAATATGGAGGAGAGCTAATAAATTTGCTTGTATAAAGAAGATTTATATTTTTCTTTTTCCATCTGTATTGTTTTTTTGCATATTTACTTTTTTTCTTTTTTCTTTTTCTCCATTTCTATTTATATATTTTCATGATTACATATAAACAAATGTTCGCTCTGGAAACGTTTGGAAATCATGATTCCTTTTTCTCTACTTAAATTTTCTTTCTTTCTATTACAAGTTCTCATGCTCACAGGAATTCCTTCGCGTTTTTTTGTTTTTTTTTGCAAAGTGAAACTACTATATTATTGTATATATTTGGCAAGCGATTATATTTGGAAGTTGGTTTTGCCAATGTGCATTTTCTTCAGTTGGCAAATTCTTTAGGAATCACTTGTGTTACGACCACGCTTACTATTGCCACAAGATGTTTATATATTCTTAACCAATGTATAATTAGAAGGTAAGAAGGCAAAAGGACAGGAAGAAAGTCACTCTGGAAATAGATTTTTTTCCCTCTTATTCCTTTGGTTTCTCCTGAATAGTTTGTTATGTTTCTACTGTAAAATTGGCAGCTGTATGTCTGTTTTAAATGTTATTAACCTACATTCTGCATTTCAATTTAAAGTGGCTTCTTAATGCTTAAAATTAAAATTCTTTAGCCTTCAAAATGTCTTGGCTCTATTTCCTTCTCCATTGGCATTCTTGCAACAGTCTTTAGTCTGGAAAGGATCTTGATTTTAAAATGAATGTGCCATATAAATGTTTGTGGGTTGTAAAACCTGCTTGCTATGTAATAGCTGGTAATACTCAGCTGCTTTTTAATAAAGGATATGATAACTGGTACAACTGTACTTTTCCTGTTATTTATAATGAGGTAGACTAGTATCAAATGTCCTTTGGTTAGTTTTCCTGTAGCCATATTGCTTCAAGAAAAAAAAAGGAATTGCATACTTATGACATTATAGTCCTTTTTAGACATCTGTTTCAGTTAAATTGTGAAATCAGTATGTAGGTTCATGGTTTTACTGTATGTTCTATAGAGGATTTCCCACCTCACCCTTCTTGCTGGATGCTTTCGGGGTTCATTAAAAGTTGTTCCTAAATATTATTGTATTCAGAATGTCTTAACAAATTCATTAAAAATCAGTAGAATCAGACAGAAATCATCACCATCACCATTATCAACTTCATCATCATCATCCATCTTACACAGACCTGGAAGTCTATGGAAATGGCCATGCAAGCCATTTTGAATAGGTGATACTTATATGTGAATTGACACTGTTTTGGCTATGGATCTTTTAAAAGTCTACAATAATGCACTTAAACCAAGATCCGTACATAAATGAATTCACTGCACAAGTATCTAAATATATCTGTAGGCAATTTAAAAGAATTATTTGCAAGCCTGAACAATTTGTGAGCTGTTCCTCTCTCTTCTCCATTGTTCAGTAGAATGAGGAATTTGTTTAGTATTTATTTAAGATAAAATATAAACTGAATTTGAACATGGATAGTCAAGTCCCCTCTCTATGCTACTTTGGATGGCTCTCCACATGCAAACATGGAAGGTCAAAACAGTAATTTTATTTTTCTCTTGTATAGATGATTTTAGAAGAGAAATTAGCTAGAAATTGCTTGGGATTCATTATTTTTTCCTCCCCTCATACAAACGTTTAATACTTTTTAGGTAGAATGCTTGCTTGACTTGTAGGAAAACATTTTTTCTATTATATTGTATATAGAAAGTTCTATCTGCACGTAGAATTACTCTTGCCACTGAACTCCACATCAGAATTATGCCCCACCATTTAATTACAAATAAATGCAAGTTATAAATAATGTGGTAAAAATATTAATCTCTATAGTTTGGCGACAATGGCCCAGTGAATCTTAAAACACAAAAACTCTAGATTGTTTTTTCATCATCTTAAGGAGCTTTATGCAAATATATCCCCTTCATTGTACAATTAATGAACTGACTAAAATTAATTTTCACAAGTTTGTTGTGTGGTATTGACAGAACTAAAATAGAGTATTACAGGTTCTATACACTCTTTGGCCCATAGTCTGTAGTAAAGTACTTTTCTCTTTTTCCAAACAGAAACCTTGATTTTTCTTAATTATCCCCCAGGATATTTTATGCTGACTCAGCAATAAATCAGTTCTTGGCAGCACACTAATAAATACAGTGGACTACTGGAAATACCATCTTTCCACTGAGATTTAAATATGAGGCACTGAGCACTTGATACTGAAAATTCCAAGGTTCCTTTTGGGAAACAAGGAAATGTTACCTCAAAGAACTTGTCCAAATTAAAATGTATATAGCCCTGCTGAAGTTTCACTTGGGAGATTAAACTGGATTATACAAGATTCATAATAGTTATAGGATTTTTTTTATTATTATTGCATTAAAGTGTTACACTTAGCATTTTAGACTTTTGTATAACTTTTTGTTGTTTGCACAGTATAAAACCCTAATTTTCACCTTTTATATGTAAAAAAAAGAAAGATTCACCTCCTAGAGAAAGAGAAAAAAGAAACATTAGCAAATGCTTATTTATTTTTCCACAATATCTGAATATACTTAAACCTTGAGATAAAGTATTTTAAATTATTTACTGTTCTTTTGTTAGGTGTTGTCTATGAGCATTTCATTTAAATTGGTGGGGGAAAAACTTGCTATATTGTTGACTATACAGTAGTCAACTTACTTACAGCTCTTTATTTACAGCTTTTTGCCACATGCATTGACATCATGCACAAATGATGCATTTAAAATGCACACTCATTGGTATCATGTGCGTAAACTCTTAGTTTTATTTCCATTTAGTAGCAATGGCAGAATCTATTAAACGTGGTGCCTGTGAAAGCTGCTTTCGTTTCAGCTTTAGCAAGAATAGCACATTTGGCATTTTGTTTATTCAGGTAGTCCTCAATTTAACAATAGTTCATTTAGTGACCGTTAACAATGGCACTGAAAAAAGTGACTTATGGCTGTTCTTCACACTTACAACCATTGTAGCATCTCCATGGTCACCTGATCAAAATTTGGATGCGTGACAACTGGTTCATCTTCGTGACGATTGCAGTGTCCCTAGGACATGTGATCACCTTTTGCAACCTTTTGACAAGTAAAGTCAGTGAGGGGTCCAGATTAACAATGGTTCACTTAACAACTGTGGCAAGAAAGGTCATAAAATTGGGCATAATTCACTTAACAAATGTTTCGCTTAGCAACAGAAATTGTGGTCATAAATGGAGGACTACCTGTAATTGAGCACAAAACAATTTGGAGAAGCAAATAATGGCAGAAATGAATAAACAGTGGCTAATACACTTCTGCAGAAATATTCTTTTTTTATAAAAAAAAATGTCCACACAAGTTAAGTTTTGAATCTTAAAACGGTTCCAAAAATATGTAAGGATGAACTTGGTATCTTAAACAGGAATATTTATGTTTTCTGGCCTGATCATTCCCAAACCCTGAGTTGTTTTATTTGAGAAAATATGGCTAACAATCTTCACTTAATCAGTGAAGAGGGTTTTTTTAAATATCAGCTTTAATGCTGTTCTTACATTTGAGAAATCCGTGCAGATCACTTCAGAAGGAAGCTATAACCTAAAAAAAAAAAAAAAGTGATTAACCAGTTGTAAAGAACTCCAGTAATCCCAGCACTGTTATACTATTTGGGTCAGATATCAAGTTACCAACACTGCCAGATCATTTATACTCAATTGTGCTGTTAACTTTATTATCAGTCGGATCAATATTACACTGCTGGGACATTCTTCTTCTGTATATCTGAAGAGAATTATTTTCCCAGCTATATTGTAATCAGATTATTTATTTTCAAAGGTCTGCTACTTTCTTTAGGTTCCATGCCAAATTAAATCCAATTCCTTTTAAATGTGAGGTGGGAGAATTAGCAACTCCATTCATTTTCAGAATGTTCATACTTAACCTCTGATGGTATTCTCAGCTTGGCTGAATAAAATTAACCGAGGGATGAGTTTAAATAGAACCAATAAAGCTTTATGTACAAATCAAAACACAGTGTTTATTTAAACAACTGAATCACAACATACCGTTTGTAATTTCAGCATACAAAAAGAGCATGCAATATGTTCTATTCTAAGGTAATAATTTTTCTTTTTGGAACAGCATCTAAGGTTTAGTCCTTGTGTATATGTTTATATATACACACACACACAAAGTTCCTTTTCAGAAACATAACTCAGCAAAATGGCACATCTTTTATACAGAAGTATAATCATTCCTTTTGCTTTTCCTTTAAGGCGATGATTATAAGTTTCATAGATGTCTATCAGTTTGCATGCTCCAGAGTCTCCGCATTAGAACGAGAAATAACATCCCATCGGCATCACATTGCAACTCTGAAATCAGAACTCCAAACAGCTTGTCTTCGTGAAAATGAAAGCTTACACTCAGTAAGTTTCTGATTTTCTTTTTTTCCATGCAATTGTTTTTTAATGTACGTTGACACATTATTTTCTGGAAGCCTCCTTTTGCTTATATAACTGGGTCAGAAAAGGGTTTGTTACTGCGTCACAACCTATTTTCTGATTAAAGGACACATGATTAATTTGGCATATTTTCTGCCCTGCGCTATAAGAATTTATCCAGTTTAAAAATAATTTCATGTCTGCGCAGTACTGCTCATTAGAAAATTTGGTCTCATACAAGCCTAAGGAATTATTTTACAAGAATTTCAAGGAGAATCAATATTAAAGTGGTAAGTTTAATACATTTCTTTTCTCTGTTTCTAATATATGACCAAAATGAAGAAAATCTTCTATTAAGCAAATGCAAGATTTTTTTTCATGTACAGAAAAAATAGACCATCCAAAATAATACGTATTAAAATAGATGTATATGAAACAAAAATCTCAGATCCTAAACAGCAAATTAATCGTTGATCAAATCAAATCAACTGACCAAGAACCAGTTCATATATAGGGTTATCTTCAGCAAGTCAATCTTTCATCAAAGTGATAAAATGTGTGTTGTGATGTCACAACATAATGTTCTGTCTCTTAATACTTAGTACGGCCCCAACATTTTCATATAGACAATAAGTGAACACATAACTTCAATCCAGGGTTTTAAATCAGGCACAGTGGGCTTTTTCTACTGAAGTAAAACAACTTTGCGGGAGGTGTAATATATCACGCATGAGGAATCTAAAGTTCTTCACTTTAAGGGATTCCAAATTGGTGGTATATTTTTTAACAACCCTTTCACATCTTCAAACCTCATATGTCTTCTGAATGCCATATTAACAACCCTGCTGTCAAACGCAGGAAATCAGGAATCAAGGTGGTTAAGATGAATTATTGCATCCTAACACTCTCTATAAGAATCTGAACTACTAATGGTCAAGCAAATTGGTGGTAGATAAAGTGAGCTGGAATTAAATCTCTTACGGGCACGAAGAGACTCAAGACTAATAACACACTTGACTCCTCCCTCGGGCTCAGCCTGGTCATCTACACCTGTAAATATTGAGCTAAATCTACTTAAAGTTGTGTGTTTAAATACAATGTTTATATCTAAATGTGGATGAGTCCTGCTTTTAAGAACTTGCTTAGAATCTTTTTACTCCATGAGAAAAAAATATCATTTTTTCCCCTCACCTTATTTTTATTTTTTTATTTTTTTTGTGGTATATAATCAGGAAAAACATGTCGCATGGTAGCAGATGAGAAGAGAAGGTTCAGATACATTATAAAGATGAATGATGGATGTTCCTTTTACATGTATTTATTTCCTTTTAAATATCCTTGTATGTGTTTTCTTACTTGGACAAATCTAATATGAGAAGTTTACTTCCTCATACTTTTTGAAAGAATTATGTATTGGTCAATATTGAACATTGAATAGTTATCTGAACATTCTTTGAAAAAGTTAAATATAGTAATAAAGTCTTCATGAAGAAAAATAAGTTAAGTCTTGTGTAAAGGGTGTAGGGAATGGCACTGAAGAATAGGAGGAAGAATCGCTATGAAGTCAGCAATCAAATAAGAGAGACTTCAGTACAAGACAAGAAAATAACATGAGAAATCACCTTAGACAAACCCTTCCTAGTTGCACATGAAGATAAGTTGGTGTGTGTGGTGGAAGTACATTGAGACTTGCAGGATTCTCATAGCTGTTGCAATAAGAATTGTCCTGTCCTATATGAAATTGGTTTCTTAATCTGGTCTACTTGTTGGGCTAATACCTTGACTTCTCTCTCCAGCCATTGTGATTTTTTACCCACGTACAGTATATATGTTCTATTTGTTCCTCCTTTCTTCATTTTCTGACCTTGAAAATCAGGAAAATGAAAAGGAAGTGAAAAGTTTGGTTCTGGGGTTTTGTTTTCATTGTTGTTGTTTGAAGTGATTAACTTTTGATAACTTTCTAAGGATGTCAGACTAATGGAATATTTTAAGCATATATTTCAATAGTTATAATTGTTGAATGAAGATATTTGACTCTGAAAAATTCTATGATCCATCCCTGCTTGATATGGAAATTTAAAAAATCAACCTGTAATCAATCAGCTAAATTGAACTAGGATCTTCAAGGTACCAGCTTTACATGTAACTTCAGATGACTTAATTTCTATTGCATGAAAGTCACCTACAGTGCCAACTTAAAACTTCTGACTTCTGACTCTAACTAAAGAAACATAACTTTATAAACTATTATGTGATGTTGACATACTCCAATGCATTTTCATTGAAATTGCTTTTCTCAGCTGTTATAACTTGGCAAGTTGGGGTTAATCTACAAACGAAAGCAAAAGAACCTTGGTAGTACAGTGGTCTAAAGCACCCTGTTATTAAGACCAGCTGCCTGCTGGTCGAATCTCGCCAGGCTCAAGGTTGACTCAGCCTTCCATCCTTTCTAAGGTAGGTAAATTGAGGACCCAGTTGTGGGGGCAATAAGCTGACTTTGTATAAATATACAAAAAAAAAGGATGAAGGCTATTGCTTAGCACATTGTAAGCCGCCCTGAGTCTCCAGAGAAGGGCGGCATATAAATCAAATTTTAAAAAAAAAGTTTTAAAGTTCTCATAGTTAATAATTCAGTAATTATGACCAATCAATCTCATCAAGATAAACTGTGCCAATTCACTACCCACCATTTTCGTCTTTCCATTCCAACACTCCAGTGCTATGCTTATATTCATTTTTCCAGAAACAACTCACTATTGAACTTACGTCTGCATAAGTTTATTGTCCATTCCTTCTGTATCTGCTTTTCGGCTGTTTTAATAATGTGCAAGCCCATCTCTCAGTAAGCTTGTTCTGTGCTCTTTTGTCTTGTTACTTAGCTTCTCCAGTTGTCTATAGGGACAGAAAGTTGAAACACAACCAACCACATGCTCAATTTTAATTTGAATGGGAGAAGAAATCATTGGCGTTAGAACGGTTTAAGAGGAAAGGAGCGAGCTTGTGTTATCTTGTGGTGCATCATTTTCTTGAGGAACAAAAGGCAAGAGTAAGGCTACTCCTCTTTTCAGCAACCAATCAAGCAAAGTCAAAACTTTCTGGATGAACAAGTTCTCTCACACCTTGGGAATTTTCTTCTCTTTCAAATACACTAATGTATTTTTATTGTCTCAATGGGGAGACCTGTCCTTTTGTGTCCTCCACTCTTTTCAATCTACAAGCTGCTCACTCCAAAATTGGAGGGTTTACCTATGTTCAGTTTGGAGTTTATTTTTTATTTAGTTAGGTTGGAATACATGCTCAGGCATCCCTAAGCAGATATTTATATGTAGCTCAAGAATGAAGGAACCATCATAAAAGTATATAAAAAAATAGGACCAACTAAAAGAAGAATGAAGTGCATGTAAAGAATACTCAGTACATCTGCCTTTTCCCCCCCCCCCCCCCTCATTTCCTTGTGTCTAAGGCTATTGCATGCCGCAACATCCAGGCTTGTTTTCTTCATTGCTGTGTGACTTGATTTTCTTCTGTGCTTTAAATGGCTCCTTGGCTTGCAATAGGTGCAAAGGACTAAAACATGAGGAGGAAGAACTAAAGATCTGCTTAAGAGAGGTCCAGCTATAGACAAACTATGAGTAGTATAGTACTAGTCTCTGTCTGAGCAGAACAGCTTTGATGGCCCTGCCCTTCCTACCCATAGCCTCTTCTGCTTTCAAGCCTAACGTGGAACATTTTTATTTTTTATCTTTTCTAGTCAAAATTGAAATCCTACTGTACATCGTAATTTGAGCTTCCAGATGTAAAACAGGTGAGTCTTGATGCAGGAATTATTTATCTGTTTGTTTCCCATCTGTTTAAATCTTTGAATCGTGGCTTCATAATTTTACGTTGCTCTCCAGGATACATCATTTTGCGGTAGAACAATGGTCCTAACTGCCAATGCCCTGAATGTAGACAGAGTGAAGTACACAAACATGCTCAGTTTATGTTTCCAGATTTTGCTTTGTTGTCTCCTGTGGGTCCCACTTATTTAAATGACATGGTTTCTAGTTTAAGACATGATAACCATGTTTGGACAGACCACTAGGACACTTTTGACATACTTGCAGTTACTGATTCTATTTTTGCTAAGAATAACAAAACAAGAGTTTTCGATTGAGGCTATCTGGCTTTATCAGTTAGGTCCACTGAGAGGAGGATTGATTGCTTGATTATGTGCCATCAAATCATTGCCAAGTTTTAGTGACACTATAGATAGATTTTTTTCTACCATGATCTGTTCCCATCCTGGTCTTTCAGATCTTCCAGTGGTGCACTCATTGCCACTGTAACTGAGTCCATGGACCCTGCTGCTTGCCATTCTCTTCTTATCTTTATCAGTTTTAGCGACTTCACCAGAGAACTACACCTTTGCACAATGTGTCCAAAGTAGGAGAATTTGAGTCTGCTTATTTGTGCCTCCAGTGAGAAGTCTGGGTTGGTTTGTTCATTTGTTTTCTTGGTTGTTACTGTTGTTGTCAGGAATCTTCTCCAACACCAAAATCCAAAAGCATCAATACTATTCCTACCCTACTTCTTCAAAGTTTAGAAAGGAGGAGCCAGGGTAGTATTCAGAGCAGAGTGCCACAGCATGCTGCTTACTTTTTAATAGCTTGCCATTTTGTGCAAATGTAGCAAACGCAAAACCATTATTTTGATAGCAGGAGGAAAGTTAGGGTGCCGCCATAAATGTGAACCAGGGGAAATAACATCCAATGTAGGTACACAGTTTAGGATGAGGATCAGAATCAGGATCAGGATCAGGATCCTTAATCTAATTCAATCAAATTAAATCCAACCCCTTAAGTCTTTAAAAGGTGTTCTAGTTAACTTGCTGAATTCACATATTTATTATAACTTCAATGAGTTACTCCTTTGATTCGGGTTTTCTTGACGCTATCAGTATTTATCAAGGGAGTTGATTTTCTTTGGTGGACAGTACTTTGAATAAAGAAGAAAAGAAAGAAAGAAAGAAAGAAAGAAAGAAAGAAAGAAAGAAAGAAAAAAGAAAGAAAGAAAGAAAGAAAGAAAGAAAGAAAAAGAAATAAGTTTGGATCTTAGCTTCTGGTGAGGATTTATGGCAAACTAGATGTCTCTGAAAGAGTGGAGATAGCATTGCAGTGAAGATCAGCCACAGGCAGCAACTTTTTGCTTGTGAAGTCTCTCTGGAGAAGGAAGAGATCATGAGATCTCCCACTTGCATTCTGGGCAGCTGTTCCTCATGAGGAGATTGCAGTTGAGCAGTTGGAAGTTGAGGGTTTTAAATCAAGCTCACAGCCGTAATACAACCTATATGAACGTAAGGTTTCCATGAGCCTCATTTATAAGTACGTTTGGATGTAACTAATTTACAGTTAAATAGAGATTTTCAGAGCAGCAGGACAAGAAAATTCCTCTTAGTCAGTTATTATTTTTTTGGTTTATAAAGGATTATAAAGGAATGAAGAAAAAAAGGTTTAAATACTTAAAATCTTTTGGCAAAAAAATATTTTCTCTATTGAAGAGAAAATATTAGAAAGTCTAAAATAAAGGAGATCATTCTTTTGAAATATTTTTTTTCATGAAAGCATTTTTGAACAAACTGAAATTAACCTAGACAAAAGAACCAGACCTTTGTGGGAATGTTTTTTTGTTTACTATTAAAAAGTACAAACAATGGTGGAGTTTGCAAAGCAAAATGCGGACTAACTATGGAATATTGAGACAAAAGTATTAAGGGCGTGTAAAGATAAAAGAGGAGGGAAAGCTTGCCTTTTCTTTTTTTCCTTGTTTGAAACACTTTTTTGAGGGGGATTATAATATAATGGCAACCACCAGAAAAGCGCCAAGAATGGAGGGGAGGAGAGGATCTCTAGAACAACCTACAGAGAGAGAAACTGCATGTTTGAGCAACAAGGCAATAGGTTAGCTGAATCACGAGAGCTTTTGGGGAAATAAGAATGGAAAACTTGTAAAGATGAAAGAGGAGATGAAAGAAGTTAAGAAGATGGAAAGCCCCATAAAACAAGATTTTGGATATGTAAAACAAATTAATGACAAATTAAAATTTTGGAGAGTAAGACTGATGACTTGGGTGAATTGTTCTAATGTGAACTGTGCTGAATTGAGTTCTTTTGACCTTCCATAGCCATATTATCTTTCTAAGTTCTTTATCTCCCAAAAGTACTGAAAAACCTTAATGCAGCAGACCATTGATTTGTATCCTAACCCAAGATTCCTTGCTTACCTTCAAGGGAAAGCTTGGGCTTGGTGGGGTCTGTTTTGATGTAGAGGACCTATATTCAAGATCTACCGTCAATCATGGAAGCTGAATGCCATTAGACTATACTTTTATCTCTCAGCCCAATGTATTTTTCATAATTATTAAGGGAAAAAAAGGTGAAAGGCAAGAGTGCTGAATATATTTATTTATTTATTTTTATTAAATTTGTTTGCCACCCATATCTTCACAAGGCAACATTGCCTTGAACTCCAGGAGAAAATATAGAATATACTCTCCCCTTCAACCATATTTGGGTAAATAGAATACTCAGTTTTGATTGGAGTGGTAATATAAGCCCAGTAAATAAATAAATAAAACGGCAAGGCATAAATTGATAGGAATTACCCCTCTAGTTCTGTTTTGCTTACCTCTTCATGTGCTTTCAAGTAAGCGATTGACTGCTGTTCAACTGAAGTTATGAATAGTGCCAGAACTGTGAAGGGGAGGTTCAGGGTCTTGTAAAACTGGATGAACAGATGGGCTTTCAAATGCAGTAGAAATGTCTACTATTATCTTAAAAAGACATTCTATAAATCGAAGGTATCCTGGATATCCATTTTAATAGCAGAGCGTCATTAGCTTTCCTTAAATTCAGTTCAGAGAATTGCTGTTTGATTCAGAAAGCTTTTGTAGTACTACAGTTGCATGCAAAATTATGTTTCGGTGAAGTGAACAGAACTTGACGCAATCTTTTCATGGTAGAATAAATTCATAAATAAACACAATATCTTTCTGCAAATTTGAATGCATGCTTATAATATATGCAATTGTTTAGAAATTCTGAATAATAAAAAAAGAATGAAATAATAAAAAAAGAGTGGATAGAATAGTTTGACCGCAGTGGCTAAATATTTGCATATAATCATCTTATCCTAGAAATAAGAAGCAGTAAACTTTCTGATGAAATTAGATATTGGCTATCTGCATAATAAGGTTACTTTATCTAGAGAAGATTCACTTGTCATGCCTTAAGTGGTGTTCTCTTGAGGATAAATGTAATACATTCAGAGCTCAAAAAACACCGTGATCCTAATCCTCATTCTTTATAAAGTCTTGCTTCCTCTTCGTTTTACTCCTGCTATTGACACCAAATAATGGGCTTTATTGTAAATTCTGGGCAATTTTATAAATATCTGTATGAGCCCAAAGAGAAGAAGCAAAATATTGAAACCTTTAAGCAATTAGAAGGAGCCCACCTGGCTGTAGAACCAGGCAAGTGTATTGGGAGAAATTCCCAGTAGTTACTCAATCTTTTGGAATTTAGGTTGTATCAGAAAAGGAGAAATAGAAGAGTTGGGGGAATGACTTAAAGAGAGTGAGAGAACCTGAAGAGATGGAGGAGTCACATGAATCCACAGAGATGGAAATTTGCTAAGGTCAGGAGGACATATGGCTTCAGATGAAGGAGGGAGAAAGAATAATGATCCCCAGGGGAGGCTGCAAGTGAGATAACAGCTGGAGAAAGAGTTGGGCTGTCATCTTCCACAGAAAATACCAAGAGTTGTTGTTTTTGGATGAACATATTCACTGATGCTGTTATCCAATGTATGTTTCTGTCATGAATGCATTTATGTGGTTTTGTGTGTGATACTTCATTTGTTTCAGTGATAGGTCTTTGTGTTGAAATACCACATGTTATAAGCAATGAGTGGGGTAGAAATGACATGAGTCAGTAAACTTTTAGATAGACAGTGTGGAATCGCCTGAGAATATTTTCATCTTTGGAAATAAGTCCAAAAAATACATCTGTGGGACTTTCCAAATCATTGTAAGTAGACCGAATACAGTTCTTTACTCATCTGTTGAAGGGGCCTTGACAAATGTCTTCCAGACAGTTGTGACTGTGAGGCACTGTGTTTTCCCATCATTCAAATGTAAAATGTTCCTTCCTGGAAATGTTGTTTTCTACTATGTCCTGCATGTGGTGTGATTTTTTTTCGGGCAAAGGGTCTAAAATTTGCAGCAAAGTAGGTGAACAGTGCAGAATTCATTAGTTAGATTAGCAACAAGTAAAATCAGAATCTACAAGCAAAGTTTAGTCCAAAATATAAAGACAAGTAAAGGACCTTGGCAAATGTAGGTAATGAAGTTATTCAGTCAAAAGCACCTAGGAGAAAATTGAGGGTGCCCACCTTCCAGTTGTTAAGCTTGTTGATACTGTTCAAGAGAATGGCTCTATTTCTTTTTTCTTTTTAAAGTTTTTTATTTATAAATACAGACTGAACAAAACAGTAAAACATACAAAACATAAACATATAGACACCAATTTACATACACGTCCAGTTTATCGCAACTGTAATATATACTCTCATTCGTATTTTGACTCCTCCTTGTTTGGTCTTTCCCTTCTATCTATCTTTATAATTCTTGGTTGACCTATATTTGTAGTTTACTTTCCTCTTTCTATATTTGGTCATTTCATTTATTTCCTAGTCTTTTATCCCTTTCCTATCTTCCAACCAGACATACCACTTTTCCCATACTAAGTAATAATCATGTTCCTCCCT